AAAAAAAAAAAATTGAGCCTTGACTTCTAAAATGTGACAACACCGTATAGGAGTTTGGTACCATGTTGTTAAGAATTAAATTGATTTTATGTGTAACAGCACCTTATAAAAATCTAATTCATTTTTGATCTAATTGTTAATTTCAAATTCTTAATATATTTAAATATATTGTGATCTAAAAATAACAACAGTTCTTAAATCTTTGACATTACAATCTAAGCCAACTTGTCAATCTAATTTAATAAATTTCAAATTAAATTGCAAAAATTACAATTCAAAAAATTTCTAGTTTACAATAAAATGGCATAAAACTGTAAGCCATTTAGCGAAAAAAAAAAAAATATACTGCACATAATCTATCCAATACATTTTTTTTTGTAGTAAAGCTATAGTTTCTGTTTTGTTGTTCTATTTTTCTCTTTATTATTATTATATATTTTTAATGTTGGCTCTGAAATACAAGTAACTGGGAAAAGAATGTTGAATAGATACCGCATAGTTGAGAAAAATTATATATATATGTATATACAAAGATTTTTATATATAAATAACAGCATATTCTAGTTTAAAGGTATGAGATTTTTATATTTTTCACGTTCTCATATCTCTTTGAATAAACCATTTATAATATAAAAATAATTTAGTATGAAGAACAAGCGAGCATTAAAAATACAAGTTGAGATTTTGGTACCCTGTGAACACAAAATAAAAATTTATAATGAAAAAGAAAAAAAAACAAAAACAGAAAAAAAGAAGAAATTGTCTTACATTTCTGATTTTCTGTTTTTGTTATACTAGTTCTTTTTCATAAATCTACTTTCGAGTCCGTCCTTCCGAGAAATATTTTTTATTTTTTATTTTTTTTGTATTTTTGCGGCATGAGATCAATAGAATTGAATTCTTAAGCATTTTTTTTCTGCTGTTATTCATGGATATTCTGAAAATATTTCTCAGCATTAAAGGAGATTTCCTCTTTTAAAGCCCTTTATGTTCCGAAAAAGGTCTTATAAAACAAAACAAAAAAAAAATAAACACTAATAATAATAAAAGTAAAAAAAAAAATTAAAATATATAAAAGCAACAACAACTCGAAAAAATGCGGCTTTTCACGTAGAGGTTTTTTTTTATATTTTCATCTCTTTTCCTCCACACAATACACAAAACAGTGAGACACAATAATATTAAAAAAATCCAAAAAAAAAAAATATAACCACTGAAGATCAATTTTTAAAAGGTAGAATTTTTGGGTAGGAAGGTAAGCAAGTAGGTAGGTAGGAGAGAAGGTATGTGATAAGAGAGTTTGTGTGAATGTGTTATGAATCTAAATATGTACGAGTATGTTATACTCAATTTTGAAAAGTTGAGGTAGAGCAGAGGAGTTTTGGTGCGGAATATTAAAATAATAAACGACGAAGATGAAATAAAAGATTTTTTAAAAGATTCAGATTTCTTCGGAGGAAATCTGTGATGGTCAAATAGCATAAAATAAAAAAAAATTGTATGTATTTTCATTTCTTTTTGTTTTTTTATTTTTATATCGTCGTCTTATGTTTGTTCAGAATTTCGTTTTTTTCTTTTCTCTTTTTGTTGAATTGAGATTTTATTTTTGAGATTATTTAAAACATTTCTTTTGCTTTTGTATATTAAGATTTTTAATGGGAACGAAAAAAGGGCCTCTTATATTGCAGTATTACAAACATTTATACCCTATATACGTACATAAATATATTGGATTAGGTTATTTTTATTTCAAAATCTTTAAGTTTTTCCATTTCTTATTTCTTGTTTTCTTTGGATTTCTTAGGAATTTTTTAATAATATGTATGCTTGGCGCGGCGTTCATCCAATTCAATGGTGGGCGACGGTTATGCTTTCATCAGAATAACAGAAATAAATACATTCATATATATATATACATAAGTAAAATAAAAAATAATATTAAAAAAACAAAGTAGAAAAAAAAAAGAGTAAGTGGCGATGAAATATGTCGAGGTCGATTAGACTTTGAAAATACATACTTTTTTTTTTGTTGTTACTTCATTCTTGGTGAGTGCATAAACCAAGATTAAAAAAAAAAAATATTTTCTTTTTTAAGAATAAAAATAATAAGAAAAAATGAATTATCCACATTCCATTAAGGTCAAATATCTTTGATATTATTAGACATTTCGATGTTTGAAATGTGTATGCGTGAATTTCTTCTACCAATTTAGTTAAAACATTTTTCTAATTCTTGCATTTTTTTTTAAGTAATTAAATATTATTGTGAATAATGAAATTCCAAACGTTATTAGTTAAAAATTGATGTAAAAAATTTAAAAATGAATTTATGACTAAATTTAAGTCAAAATAAATTAAGAATATAGGCACTGCTATGGTTTGTACATAAGCAGGGCAGTGATATGGTTAATAATATTAAAAATTTATATATAAAATTTTGCAAATACAGTTAACTGGCAATTATTTTTACATTGAGGCAAACGAATATTTTATTTAAATATGAACAAAATTATTACTCTTTCAAATTAAAAATTATCTCCTACAACCTACCCTGTGATATGAAAAACTCTTTTAAATATGAGAATGAGATAATTATTTATACATATACGGTACAAAAACAAATTTTACAAAAATTTTGATAGTGTAAATATGAAAAGGAGATTTATGGTACGTAGATCTCAATAATTATCTACAATTTCGATAATGAGACCTACTTATTATTAAGATTGAGATTATAAATGTATATAAATTATTGAGATTATTGTATATAATTGTTCCTATAATATTCAGAATTATAATATCGTATGGCAATATTCTTGTACCGTATGTGTATTGATATGGAAAAATTATGTAAAAAAATGCACATACGACAAGACGTTTCTGGACAAAAGTCTTTAGAAGTTCGATCCATTTGGGATAAGGCACTTGAATTTGATGTTAATTAATTCTTTATATTGCTAGCTATCCTAAAAAAATCAAAAAATTTAAAAATTTTCGACGAATTTTGAGAAATTTTATCCTAAACTTCAATTGCGATTTCCTGAAATCCGAATTTCGGGATATGCGACAAAATAACTCTTAATAATGAATTGAATTAATATGAATACCTGAACTTCTTTTTGATATTAATGTACATAGTTAATATTAAGTAGATAGTTAATATAAGCGCGACTCTACTGTCAATTTTACAATTTTTGAGTGAAATTATGATTTTCAATTTATTTGCATAATTTACATAGGACGTTTAAATACTTTTAAGAATTGTTATTTTGTCGTTGGTCACACTACTTAAAGGTTAACCAAAAAAAATTTAAAAAGTAAATTAAATATTCCTTGATTTCATTATTCCATTCCCTTTTTAATAAAAAAAAAATATCCTTAATTAATAAAAATTGTTTTTAAAAAAGGTGCAACATAATTATTATTGTTGTTGTCTGTGATATATGCATTCATATTATAAATAAAAAGGGTGGGTGGATTTCTTAGAAATTCAATCAGACTTCACCTTATATACAAATATATGTATACATTTACATATTAAGTATGTATGCATGTATGAATACAGAGTATATGAACAATATAAAAATATATTATACACACATTTATTAAAAATACCATACTGATTATTTAAACATTTAAAAATCATAAGAGTAATTTTAAAAATGCATTTATTCCAAAAAAAAAAAAAAAAAACGCTCACGCTTAACTTTTCTTGCCTTTTTTTCTTATTTCTCTCATTTCTACTATGTAATTTTGTATATTATGTATATGCGATTGTGATATCATTGAAGTTATGCACGTAGGTATCTCGTTGATTGGGTAGGCTACTTCCGCCGAATGTTTTTCTTATTTTTATTGTTTTTTTTTTCTTATTTTTGATAAGTAGGTATATAAACAGTGTATATGTACATATGTATGTTTGAGTATATGTAAATATTATATATGAAATTGTAAACAGCCTACAGCGGATGTTGTTTTTGTTCACTAATTTTTATTGTATTTTCTTAAAGCTATTTTTTTTTTTTTAAATAATATTTTAAAGCATAAATGAACCAACATATAGAAAATATAAAAATAAATAAAGAAATGAAAATTTCCTCTTTGTTAATCATATTAGGAAGTTGTTTTAATTTTCTCAATTATCACGATCAAACGATCGAAAAACAAAAAGTTGTCGAGAAAAATGAAAAATTTTTTGAACAGAAATTTGCAATGACTTTTTTTTTGTGTTTTCTTTTTAATTTATTATTGACTTGAATAACTTGAATTAAATTAAATTTTTTATACATACGTGTATACTTATAAAATACAATGTAATTCCAATTTAGTACATAACATTCAAAACCTGTTCAATAAGAGCTACATATATTTTTTGTGTAAAATAATTTATTATTGAAAATGTAGAATGGAGAAATTTAATTATAATGTTGAAAATATTGAAAAAAAAAACCACTTTTCAAATCAGCGAACCAAACCAACAAGCAAGCAAAATAAATTGACACATTTTAGCACTTTTTTGTTTTTCTTTCTTTTCTTGTTGTTTTTCATCTCAAAATTAAGATTTTAGCAAACGTAGTCAAGTTTCACACTAAAACCTCTAAAAGCCTCTATATGGTCATATAATTAAAATTATGGTTATGTACAACTTTTTTTTTTCCAATGTTTTATACATACAAAATATTTTCTACAATTTCTTTGGATACATCAAAACTTTTTTTTAAACATTCGATTCAAAATTCAAACTAAAAATTATAAAATTAATTCCAATTTAAAAAAATAAAACTTTCTCATATTCAATCCACAATTTCTTAAAACTTTATTAAATCCAGAGAATATTTTTATGAACCTTATTGTATCATTGATTTTTGAAACTTTTCAACCAAAAAAAAAACTTTTTCTCATAACATGTTGGTCGGCCATTTTTTTCACAAAAATTTTTTACTAAAAGAAATATGATGTTTTCTGATTTAAAATTTAATTTTCACCAATAAAACACCTACCTTTTAATTCAAGTTTAATATTATCCAAAAGTTTAATTTATAATGTATCCATTTTATTAAAAATGTTTTTTAATTATTTATGAATTTTTGTTTAAATTTACACTAAAATAAATTTTAATTCCACCACTTTTTCTTCAAAAAGAGCAAAAAAAAAAAAGAATGTATTTTACACTATGATTTTTTTTTTTACAAGAAAAATATATTCTTCCTCTTCATTCGGTAACAGCGAACTTAACTCGAGAAGAGTATATACACGAATATTGAAAGCTGCCGTTTTCGTTGTATTTCGTAGTTCGTTCGTTGCTGTCGTCGTCGTACGTAAACGTCGTATAGAAAAAAAATTTTTTTTTCATACAAACACAATATTCAAGTAGATATGTATATAAAATTTTTAAGCAAAGCGAACGAACGAAATGTAAGTATTTTTATTGAAATGAAAAAATATAAGCATAAAAATATTTTAATTTTTTCTTATATTTTTTTTTATCATAAAATACAAGATGTGTGTATTGTATAGTGTTTGTAAACTATAAGAATACAATAATAGCAAAATATATTATACATTCAAAGATTCTGAATGAGTATTATGTGTAAACATAGTACTCCAATAAAATTTACAGATACATTTAAATTTTATATTTTTTAACAACCAGCCAGCAGGCCAATATATTCCTAAAGTTTTAATGGAAAATGTTAAAAAAAAATTAAAAAAAAAAAAAAACACTATAAAGTATAAAAATCCGGTTAAAATGCATTGGTTTCAAAATATATTGTCAAAAGTTATTATATAGATTTTTCACAAGAAATTATAAAAAAAAACCGTATGAGATGTCAAAAAATGAGTACGATTCCACATTCAAAATTAACAAACTGATTTATTCCTTACGGCGCACTTAACAATTAATACTTCCTTTACCAGTCAATTCAATCTTATAAATGTCGCTCCAACTATACGTTTTTCTAAAAGCGAATAATCGTTCACAATAGTTTGACATATTTTAATATGTAGAATACAAGCGCAAATGCTAGAAAATTCGCCAAAAACACTGTATTTAATTTTCAGAGCTAACCTTAAATATATACGACATGCAAAATTATCAACAAATTCTCAGAATATGTAAAATTCTGATTTTTGATGCGTTGTTGAAAGTAAAAGCTGATCTCAATATTTTAAGTTGAAAACAGAACAAGAGCGATTTTTCGCGGTAAAATACCAAAATTCATAAATAATACATTTGTTTATATGGGATTGCTCTATGGGAATCAAGCGAATTTACGGTTTTTTTGACATCGGTGTTTCCATGCGACGTTATAAGCAAAATACAAAACAGTTAATTTTGGCGTCTCGCTGATTGTTTTGAGTTAACAGCGAAAATCATACGCCGTTGCTTTTAGCTGCTTTATTTATTTTTTTACAATTATCAGCGATTTAAAATATCATAAAGATACATAAAGATACATCAGAGTTTTTATACTCAAAAAATTTCAGTACAATTTGACATTATAGTTTTTCGTCAATTTATGTAGTAAAATTTCTCAGTACATTTATTTTTCGTTAGAAAAATGTAAAAAAATAACAAAGCAGTTGATTAAGGTAAATTATAAAAATATCACAAATTATTGTAAAATAAATTTTATTTACTCTAACGTAATTTTTCGAATGAATTCTAGAATAAACATTCCTTCGGCCTTAACAAAATTATATTATCTTTACATATGTAAGCTAAATCACACCTTTCACAAACAATCAGTAAGATTTTTCCTTTTACATTCTCAGCTGATTTCTGAAGTTTCGAATTGATACTTGTTCTGTTTTACTTTACTTTCACAATTATTTACAATTGTATTAATTACAATTTGATATTTGAACATTCAAGATTTTTGTTTTAGAAAAGTGTCTGATACCTGTCTGTGTTGAACAGGAAACCGAAGCAGCAACCATTTGCCATGAATGGAATTTTTTTTTATTTCAAAAAAAAAAAATGTAGAAAAAAATGAAAATATCTTATAATAGATAGGGTGGGAAAACTGAATGCCGTCATGTCATATGGAAACTTTATGTAGTGGTGTGCTTCATGTGTACAAATGTACAATTTTTTTTTACAAACATTTTACAGCTGTTTAGCGCAGTCTTCACTAATACATTCTCATTCATGTAAAAAAAAGTCATTAATAATAAATTCCATTCCTAAAGCACTCTGAGAAAAATAAAATTGAACAGCGTCGTACATTGTCGTTTAAAAGATGTGGAATTCAAAAAGCAATACAAGGTTTGTGAAAGTAAAATTTTTAATACAAAAATAAAATAAAAAAAATGTACATACACATTACTCGCGCCTAATTTTAGCGTATTTTATTTGAATGGAACGAAATGTATACCTTAAATTTAAACTCATAAAAGTAGTTCCACTTATTTTTGACGGTTCTGAGGTGAAAAAATAGAACATTTAAATTACAGTCAACATTTAACAGTATTTCATTGCCAACTTAAATATAAAACTATTTTATGTCAGAAATTTAAGAAAATAAAGTTACTTTTTTGCAGCAGCATATGAAAACATGAAAAAACATTAATATCGAATCAGCTAAAGTAATTGAAATTTTTTAATAAAATAAAAATGTGAATCATAAAAACAATAACGATAGGCATTTTAATTTTTTATATTTGTGCAAAATGTGATATTTATTAAAGTTTTTAATTGTTTTCAATTGTATTTTACGTCACTGACGTTTACAACTGCCTTGCTATCATATTTTGTTTAAATTGGCTGTTTAAGAAGAATTCATAATGGAATTTTTAGTTTTTTACTCAGTGTGCGTGCGTGTACAAATACTAATAATACACTATACAATTTACGCACGAATACTATTAAAATTTGTGTGTAAATATAAGCAAACATCCTGTCATTCGCACACTATTAAATACGTTATATTTATGGTTTGCATGTATTCCGTTGTACAATTGAATTTTTTATGTTTTTATTTGATGTTTTTAATTTTTGGCGCATGCCATTCATTTTTTATTATACATACCGAAAATTTAAGAAATCGAAATATATTGTAGGTTTGTACGAATGTTGATATAAAAAGAAAAATTAACATGTCGGTTTGAAGCGGCACATCTACCAGCTGTACCCTTACTACCCTTATCCTATTTAGTTAGTTTGCTGTTTTTTTATATACATATGCATGTTTATGAATACATGAGGTACATATGTATATTTTATATATATATATATTTTATATATAGAAAAAGGGTAAAAAAACTTAGTAACAACATCGCTTCGATTTTTGTTGTACAAATTGTCAATGTTTTCGTTATGTTTCTTAACAGCTGTCTATTTGGAAAAGCACAACTACAAAAATAGAAAAAAAATCGAATTTTCCTTATAACATAATAGATACGCAATAATTTGGTTATCCCTTTCAAAAATTTCCCCTTGATTTCATGTCCTTGCTGGACAGTTCTGTTTCAATTAATTTTATTTTTGTTTTTACATTTAACATGTGGGAATATGCACATATGTATGTGTACCTCTACATTTGAAAATATCTTAAAAAACTACTAGGAAAATTTGTCTCTTTTTCATTTTAATCGACCACTCTGCCACTTGATATTTTTGTTTACAAAAAAACAATCAACCTGTGACGTAATTTGTTTTGAAAACAGTCAAATTGAAACGAAGTAAGAAAATCGAAAATATCGATCGATATTTTCTGTATGTATATGCAAAATGAAAAGAGTTCAAAAATAGGGAGTAAACGGAAAATATTGCACGTATCCTAAAATGTTATTAATAAAATATCCTTGACGAAAATTTTAAAATAAAAATTCTGTATTAAAATGCTGATAGCATATGCAATGTTTTTCCCTGTTTTTTTAACTAGATTATTTAATAATTTAAAAAAGTTTTAATAAATATATACCTTATTAAAAACAAAAATTATTGACATAATTTAATGTTTGTTTTAATTAATTAAAGAGGAAAGTGCAATATGTAATATCAGCTTATAACATAGTAAGCTATAAGAAAGTTTTGATAAAAATATCGAAATATGGAATTATAACACTTTCTGAGAATAATGTTTTAATTATTTATGCTTCCAATGTACTAATTAGGAAACACACGTAATCCTTGCATTTTAGTCTTTTTAATTTAGTCTCTTCGTTTTTATGCAAAGGGGCTACATACACATGTACTTACTCCATACATAAATACAACCATACATATCTACTCCTACATTATGATTTGAAACTTGATACTCGTTTGCAAAATTTCTTGATCTTATTTATAGTTTGAAAATTTTACAAACAATTTTTTGCGTTCCTATTTTGTTTATTACATTAATACTCATATATATTTGTTACTTAATATGTATGTATGTTTATTTACGTACATATATAAGCATACATTTGGATATCAACAGTTTTACATTTATTTTATGTTAATTCAAATTTAAATATTTTTTACTTTTATTTAAAAATTTATGCATTTGTGCATCTCTAATAAAATATTATGGTTTTCTTCCCACACCCTTATGGCAAATTTATAAAATAAATCCGCAAATAACACTTAAGCTAAACATAACAACCCCATATTTAGCAACAGCAAGGCCATAAAAATTTTGCGGTGGTGTTTTCAATTAAAATTTAACGCGAAAATAATTTCTTTAACGCTAAACAGCGCATTTTTATTTTGTAAAACTTTTATTTATCACAATTTTTATTTTCCATTATTTTCTGGTGGGCAAAATGAAATTTTTTAATTTTAAATGGATGTATAAAGAAAATATTTTAATGTTTTTCCAATAGAATAAAAATTTATAAAGTATTAATGGTCCTATCAAAATAAATTACATAAATAAGGATAAAAGAATTGAAAGGGAAGAGAAGATTTATTAACACCAAAAATAAAAATAATTTTTAAATTTAAATGGGAGAAATGTGATATATTTTTTATTTTAAAATTGTATTCGTATATTATTTTTCCAAGATTACGCCCTTGTCTCAAATCAAATGGAACGAAATGTCGTTTTAATTTTTCTCATAATTCTCGTAAAACTCATTTTGTATTTCAAGATTTTTTATTTTTTTTGAAATACACTGTACACATTTTCTTTCACATAGGACATTTAAGATTTTGAAAATAAAACCTTTTTATAGCTTTTATTTTAAAAATTAATGAGATGTGAAAAATGTTGTCTATTGAACACTACTGGTTTGAAATTGGAAAACATTAAAAATAAACAAATGAAAAAAATTAAT